GCAGGAGCATTCTGGGTTCACACACCTGGGGAGGGGTGGGGGCCCCCTGTGGGGAAAGTGTGGGGCCCAGAATGTAAGAGGTGGCTGATACCAGACAGAGGTTTTGCTAGACTCTCGAGGGAGAAATGTGAGCTGGGGGCCTGAGGAAAGAAAAATAAATTTAGCTTAAAATGTGGTTCTTCTTGTTTTCTTCCCCCTGGAAGATTAGAAGGGGGAGGGGAGGGGCCGCGGAGGCCCTGGGAGCTGAAGGGAGCTGAAGTGGGAGAACGCTTGAGGCTCATGGGAAGAAGGTGTTTAACGATGATTGAGAGGCCACAGAGCTTCCTTGGGGGTGGCGGGGAGGGGGCTTCAAGCTGTCTTGAACCATCAATCCTCCCCTGGTGAGAAAGCTGTACCACAGGTTTGCTGGAAGGGAAACCCCGCCTGGTCACCATCAGCATACTTTCCCAGGTGCCTGGGAACTGCCTGGCAAAAGCACACACCGCGGCAGCCGCCACCTGCCTTCAAAGGCTTAACCTCCGCACGGCTTTGGGGGCTTTGGGCTGCAGAGTCAGTGCTCACCCAGAGCGAAGCCCAGGTGCCTGGGACAGATCTGAAATGGTCTGCAGTGTGACGGCGAACGTCAGGCCCCAGCCTGGGATTCCTTCAGAGAGTGTCCCAGACGCTGCCTGGGGGTGGTCCCCTGTCCCCTCTCATGGCCACTAAGGTCAGTGTTCTGCAGCGTCTCTGTTCTCTCTGGGGAGCCCTGGCTGGCCTTCCCTGACCTGGTCTCCCCAGACCTCGGAAGCCGCGGGCAGTCAGGGATTTTCCCCGGAAGCCCGAGGCCTGCAGAAGGAACCCTGTGCCAAGGCAAAACACGTCCTGCTTTGGGGTTAGGAACTAGTGATTTGGGTTCTTATGCACACGCTGTAAAGCCACAGAGAAGTTGAGGTTAGAAATGACTTCCTTTACACTTCCTTCCAGCCAGACTCCATGCGAGGATCAAACTCCAGAATGAAATGTCTGCTGACGAACAAGGCAGGCAGGCACTCGGGGTGGCGGGACAGCCACTTTCTCTTGTGCTGTTTAACCTTAGAAGTAAAACGCCTTCTGCTTGGTGTCCCCACCCTTTCCTCTTATTATTAAAGTGCTGACTGTGCTCATAGGACTAAATGCGCAGTCCTTCGAGCTCCGGCTCAGTAAATCCTAACCAAAGCAGCAAAAGACGGAGTGTTTGTAACTCGGTTTTACTACATAAAGTATACACTTCACTCTTTTTAAAGCCATTAGAATGCAATGAAGTAGTCCCATCTGAACAGAGCCCTGTCCTTTATTGCCCCAATGGGGAGTGAAGGGAGAAGGTGGCCGATGGGAGGACATCAGTCTCTTTAGAGAACTCACCCCTCTGACTCCCCTGAGCTCTTGAAGCGCCACCTGCCCGCCCCTCTACACGAGGGAGGGAGCCGTTGTTCACTGGGTCCTTCCACTTCTGCCCTGGAAGGGGGCCGCGCCGGTGTGACACATCTTCCCCAGGGACTAGCACAGCGCCTGGCTCAGTGGTGCTCCCCAAACGTCTGCTGAATGTTGACTGAGCTGCACAGCGAGGCTCCAGGGCTGATCTGCACTATTCGTCACCTTTCTTGCTTGGGATCCTGAGTAGGGGCTGTTCACCCAGCCTGCCAGTCCCCTTGGCAGACCCCTTCCTCATCCCTGTCATCCTCTAAGGTCATCCTGAGAGTCATCGCCCCCCCCCCCCCGCCCCATCCTAGGAGCAGACATCACCCACATCCAACTGCTTCTGAGCCCCACCCCCTGATCAACCTTCCCCACATCTGCAGCCTTTTCTTCTCCCCTGGATGGCGGTGACCCCCCGGGGGTCCTGGCAGGCCTCGCTCCTTCCCCACCACTCGGTCACTCCTCCCTCGGATGGTTCAGCTGGAGCCCAGGCTGTCGCCATGCCCAGTCCCTCCGGCCATCTGCAGCGGAGCCTCCTGAAGACACGACAACTAACAACACCCACTTGTGCTTTAGAAGAAGAGCTGTCAGAGTGGCTACTGGGGTTGAGCTGCTTTTCCCTGGGAGGAGAGACACAGGCCAGCGAGCTCCTCCACCCTCTCTCCTCACTGCTCCTGACTCCAAGAGGCTCTCCTCCCCACGCAGCCTCAGTGAGCATGTGACCCACCAGCCTGGCCTCACATTTTGTTCAACTCTTCACCAACTAAACCCTCACCTCTGCTCCACTTCAACCACCATGGCCGTACCCGGGGGCTTGTACTCACCTGTGCCACCTGCCTTTGAAATCCTAAATTCACGTGCTTCATTTTTTAACCACAACCATTAACCCTACTCACTTTCTCAGCCCTTAAACAGGGCCAGGAAGCCCCCTGAGACCTCTAGCTCCTTGCCCACCCTTTCCCCCGCTGGCCTGTTTCGCCACTTCATCCTCTTGTCCAGCCGTATGCATCCTGGAGCCCACATGTGTAGTTCAATCACCACCATCAACCTCCTTGCCTCCTGGACCTCCTATGGCTCCCCTACAAGCCCCTGGCTCTGTATCCCCCCACTCTGCACCTTCTCTGCCTCAGGGCCTGGGGTGCTGAATATCACTGGAAGAAGTCAAATGATTGTACATATTTATGTCATGATAAACATATGCTCTCTGACCTCCCAGAGTCCTTAACGCTACTTGGCATTGCTCACACGCCTTCCTGGTTAGCTTGCTCTCTACAACTCTATGGAAATGGTCCTGTACCTTTACCTTACTCTGAAAACCCCTCATCCCCTGCTTCTAGCACTTACCCTAGCCTTGTGCTCCTCAGAGTACATGCTCTCCTGGCATGCTCCTTTCTGTCTCTGGACTTACCTCGAGTAAGACCTTGCTTTCCCTCCTTCCCAACTTTCTGCCTTCTAGGCTGGTGGGAAGAGGAGTCCTTACCACTCCAGATCCCATTTCCTCCTGCCTCCTCTAGTATCGTTTCTCACCAAATCTTTCCTGCATCTTGAGTCTCTCTGATGTATGAGGGAGGTGAGAGGCAAGAGATGGCTGAGAACACTGAAGCCCACCTTACCTGCAATTCTCTCGGGGTGAGTCCGGAGGGTGTCCATGAGTTGGGATAAGGTGCGGAGTTCTGTCCAAACCTGGCCAAGGTGCTGGCTCTCTGGTGCATCCATGAGGAGTTCTTGAAAATCACGATACACCCTTGCCAAGCTGGAAGAGAGACAATGCCTCATCAATAAAGGCATAGGTGTCATAATAATAATAATACCACCTTGTGCGATTTTTACAGATAGTATCTGCTTGACCTAGCTACTACATTATGTATCTTTGCAGTAGTGCCAAGGCAAAAAGAAAATAACATTTTATTTCCTTGTACATGTCAGATAGCAGACAGGGGCATTGAGCAATTTGTTCAGTCTCCCCACTTTGGCAGGGATAGGTCACCTCTCATCCCCGTTCTCTAAGTGTCTTCTGTCTAGAGAAGCTTTAAACAGGAAGTTAGTAGATGTTACTGGAGGTTCTTCCCAGCTACCCCCTGCTTTACTGAGACCTGCCCTTCCAGCCGTTTGTAGGGGGAGATTCTGACAGCCGTACTTAATCCACAAGTTCTTCCCTGCACGTGCGCACACACACACACATCTCTCCAACGCTGATTGGGCGAGGAGAATGAAGCCAGGAGAACCGGATTTGTTTCCAGGAATTTAAATGATATTCAAAGATGCTCTTCTGATTGCCCAGACCAAGGGTGCTGTGAACTGAACAACCAGCACCAGCCTGGGAGGCACTGGTCCACAAAGAGGGAATGAGGTGGATGCCCAGAGAGGCGAGAGGCTAGACCTTGTGGGCCCAGCCTTCTACTCAAAAGACCCCCGAATAAGCCAATATTTCACTTATAATGAACGTGTGAAATGTGAAACCCAGATTTCCTGGTTCAAATCCTGAGTACAAACTAGAGTCTGAACTCCCCGTTCCCCAACTCTCACCCTTCAATCTATAGACACTGTCGGTACTAGTCCCACCAAAGCTCCATCAAGCCTCACTGAGATGTCTCCAAGGCTCCCCAGATCCCAGGGTGCAACCCCTGGGATCTCCCTACATGGGTAGGCATTTCTTCTCAGGCACCTCAAAGAGACTCAAGCTGAAAGTATAGATTGTAAAAGTGTTTGCAGCCATGGAAGCCCAGCTAAATATCACCTCCTGACTGTCCTGGGAAGACAGGTGTCCCTCTCCTACTTTTCCATAATCCAGGGGTCGGCGAGCAGTTATATATTGTAGACTCCTGGGCCATAATTCTGTCATATTACTCAACTCTGTCACTGTAGGGCAAAGGCAGCCACAGTTGGTTCCCAGTGGGGAAGGCTACCTCTAAGCATTAGGCTGACTTACTAAATGTTTTTTTTTTCTTTTTTAGTTGAAATGTAGTTTTGTCCTGGAGGAATTATATCCAGTGGAAAGACTGGCGTAACCAGTTACCTCAGTTTCCATCTGACTTGGTGTTCATACAAGTGGTTGAAGCCCGCTCTACAACGAGCCCTTGTTGGTGATTCTCGGTTATAAGCTTCACAAGCTGCAGCCCAAGTGCAGCCCACTGGGTGGAGGACGGCCCTGTCCTCATCCCTGAGCCTCTGTCTGTAGGTCATACATACATCATGCCCTCCCACCTCCGACAGGGAACTCCAAAGGGATTGGTCTTGAAATTCAACCCCAGACCAGAAGTCATTACCTGGGAACCACAAGTCCCCTGACATCAGTGTAATGTTGTGTGTGTGTGTGTGTGTGTTCATTTTTCTTGGACGAGGGGCGGGCCATCAGTGTTCATCAGTTTCTTGGAATGGTCTTCAGCCCCACAGGTAAAGAACTACCGCCTCCAGCCAGATCCTCAGGTATCGCGGCCCAACAGAACTGATGGCGTCGGCAACAGAGGATTTGGAATGTGCCCTTTCCTGCTTGTAAACCTTACTTTATCCACCCTCAAAATATTTCCTGACCTTTGCCTTAGCCTTTGATGTCCAAGAAGGCTTTTAAAAAAAAAATTCACAAATTTGTGTGCCGTCCTTGTGCAGAGGCCATGCTAATCTCCTCTGTATCGTTCTGCTTTTATTATATGTGTTGCCCAAGCAGGCACTGTCCAAGAAGGCTTTTTTGTTTGTTTTCCTTTTTTAAAAAAATATATTTTATTGATTTTTTACAGAGAGGAAGGGAGAAAGATAGTCAGAAACATCAATGAGAGAGAAACATCAATCAGCTGCCTCCTGCACATCTTCCACTAGGGATGTGCCCGAAACCCAGGTACATGCCCTTGACCGGAATCGAACCTGGGACCCTTCAGTCCGCAGGCCGACGCTCTATCCACTGAGCCAAACCGGTTTCGGCTGTTTTCCTTTTTAAAAATATTTTTTTATTAATTTTAGAGAGAGAAAGGGGGGGGGGGAGACATCAATGTGAAAGAGAAATATTGATTGGTTGCCTCCTGTATGTGCCCTGACCCAGGATCGAACCCACAACCCAGGTATGTACCCTGACTGGGAATCAATCCAGCAACCTTTTGTTTTTGTTGTTGTTAATCCTCACCTGAGGATATTTTTCCATTGATTTTTAGGGAGAGTGGAAGAGAGAGGGAAAGACAGAGAGAAACATCGATGTGAGAGAAACACATTGATTGTTTGCCTCCTGCACGAGCCCTGACCAGGGCCCGGCCAGGGAAGAGCCTGCAACCAAGGTATGTGCCCTTGATCAGAATCAAACCTGGGCCCCTTTGGTCTGCAAGCCGATGCTCTATCCACTGAGCAAAACTGACTAGGTCTCCAGCAACCCTTTGGTGCATGGGAGGATGCTCAATCAACTGAGCCACATCAGCCAGGGCTCTAAGAAGGCTTTCAAAGAGTCAGAGACCTGTCAGGGCTGACCAGGGTAGAGTGATGTAAGGCAACAGAAGGGAGACTGAGTTTTTTCCACCCAAGCAAATGGATGGCCTGGGGCAGTGGACACAACCTAGCAGGGTGCTGCCATCAGACTTCAGGTCACACCTTGGAGATATAAGAACCAAGAAATCATGTCATGTGGTCCTAGTCTGAAGCTTTCTCCCCAAGTATCCTGACAGCTAATAGAATGCTCCAGAGAGGAAACACACCCTGCTCCCATGAGGTTAGGTGTTCAGCAAGCCACAAAAACACTCATTCAGCATTACACGCTCTGTGTGTACACATGTGCTCCGGTGTATGACAGGAAGGTGTACAACCTTCTCCCCATTCGGTGGGAATCTCAACACTTACATGGAGTTGTTATAGTTGGACACAATTCCAGGAGATTCTCCCGGGGTGGGACTTTTAAAACAAGGATTGTTCACATTGCAGAAAATTCCCTGAAGCCATGGCAGAATTCCCGCTGAGGGCATTGCCTTGTTGGGAAAATGGCCTTTAAGAGAGGAAATGGAGACAAGAAGTTAGTCTTCCAGATCAAGTGGATGAAGGCCCTAGGAGCTGGGCTTCTGAGGAAGGAGCCTGGTGCTTCCCGTCATTCATCAACATGTAAGAAGCAGGAGCATCCAATATGCCAGGCCCTGTGCTGGGTACCTGGGATAGGGTCTCTTCCCTTGAGCGCCAGTGTACTGGGGGGCCAGGCAAATGCTCTAATGGAGGCACAGAAGGAAGTGCAGAGGGGGACCAAAGGGGAGCACATACTTTCATGGTGGGAAGGGCAAAGGGATTTTGGCTCAAGAGGCCTCCACAAGGAGACTTGAGGCGAAGAGGTTCACCAGTTCCTTCATTTAAAAAAAAAATTATCACCAAGGATATGTTTTTATTATTATTATTATTTTTGAGAGAGAGAGAAACATCAATCAGTTGAAAGGATAGAACCGGAAACCTAGGTATATGCCTTACCCGGAATCAAACCCATGACCTTTTGGTGTATGAGACAACACTCCAACCAACTGAGCCACCTGGCCAGGACTCACCAGTTCCTTCTTATGAGCACCTGCCTTCAAGCAGGCAAGAAAGATGCAGATTACAGGCTCCTTGAGCGAAGGAGGGGGACAGAGAAGGAGAGGGATGGAAAAGCAAGAGTTTTATGGCCAGGAAGCTTATAGGGCTTAGAACTCATGAACAAGAGGGTGAGGAGCAATAACAGGAGGTAGGAGATGGAGCAGCTTTGCATAACTTCTGAGGTCTCACATCAGCTGCTTAGAGGGAGATGAAGGTTTTCCCAGAGGCGCTCACAGGCTCACCCTAGATCCCAGGACACCCTGGAGCCCAATAAGTAACATGTAATTAAGCATGATAGTTCCAGCATCCCTTTTCCTTATTTTTTTCTAGCACGATATATAACATATCCCTAAATTGGTCTCCAAAATATGTAACTCATCTATGCTCTGTTCCCTTCAAATACTAGTAAGGGTTTAGGTATAGAAAAAACAAAAAATAACAACCATTCATCAGTAACCACATACAAGTATTTGTATAGAATGTGTAAGAATGAAGCATTACTTTGGTAACACTGTTGAATCTCTGTTTTCCGTGTTGTAGGCGTGAGAAGGTAATAAGCAGCTATGATCCGGCCCTCCCAACCCCAAGACCTTTCTAAACAAAAGGATGGGACCTCCGGGTGTACCAAGGCTACCCTGTTATGCTTACATTCATGTTTGCTGTAGAGTGGGTTGACGTTCCTTAACCAGATCAAGACCAGAAATAAAGACAAAGGCCACATGAGTTCCACCGCAAAGCGAATCTGGATAAACAAAACAAAAAGAGAAAGAGCAGTGATGCTAGGAGATTATAGGAAACATACCCAGAGCACATGCACTTCATCTCAGCACCTGTCTATGCAATAGGACTTTGGTTGTGGGATATTTCCAAAAGGACTTCCTTTTTTGATCTCCTCTCCCATACTACCTCTACTATGATATATTAGACCACCTGGGCTCCGTGTTGCCTCTGTTTTAGAAAACTGCATTAGCTCAGGACTCTCATCAAGGATCATCAAGGTATGTGCTTCAGTGCTTTCCAGATGCTGCTGTGCCCATGAATGCAGATTCTGATTCTGTAAGGCCCTACTAGATCTCGCATGTAACGCTGATGCTGCAGGTAGGAAAGATCTCAGTTTAAGCTCTCCTGCCAATAAGGAAACAGAGGCCCAGGGAGGGTGGGCTACCAGTGCAGTGTCACATCAGCAGTGATAGCATCAGGACCAAAACCGAGCCTCCTGTCTTTCGGGTCAAGGCCCTGCTCCTCCCACGGCCCTGCCTTCTAACACACACTAGACTTTGTATCTGTGGTCACTGATGGATGAATGCATGTGCAAACGATTCTGTGAAACACTGTGATCCGTAGCAAAGTCAACAGAAACCTGGGTTTTACCAACATTTTTCCTTCACCAGGTCCTTGTTGCTTAAAGAGACAAAGCAGGGCATACTGCTGTGGGTGTTTGCAATACTGGAAGGAAGACATTGCTGACACCAACATTTGGTTGAAAATTGGGATTTAAATTTATGTTCAATTTAGAGTTTGAGGACTCTGGATTCCAAAGGAAAAAGAACCAGTTGGTTGTTGCAGCCCACACTCTGAGGCATTGCATATAAGGGTGGAGGTTGGAGGTGTGGGATTTGGGGGGGATAGCAGATAAGGGGTATGTGAACTGGTGTAATAGTTCTTCCACTTCATCCCCATTCCAGAGACCTTAGGAAGGAAATGCATAAGATTTAAAGAACTTAAGCAGGAGGCTAAGAATAGAGCCTTAAATATATATAGATGAGGTAGGGGCTATTAACATGATTTTTAACCCTTTGTTGTTCTTTCCAAAGAAATGTGCTTAAACTCTCAACAAAACGGTGGATACCATATGGGGTGCTAATGAGTGTCTGTTCCTTTCCTGCTAGTAAGGTCTGCCGAAATCATAACATAAACTGATAAGGAAAATGCATCAAAGAAAAAGAAGCAAAAACTGTATAGAGCACTGGGTTATTCTACAGTTGTAACTTATTACAAAATGTTTTACTGAAAATATGTCTAGGGAGGATGTGTTAAAGCAAGCATGTCAAACTCGCAGCCCGCGGGCCGAATATTTTTGCGGCCCAGCCAATATAATGGTATGTAAGAAACGTTTTAATAAAAATTTCGTAACTTAATCTTTACAATATCCTGTTACACATAATTATCAATAATGAACTACAATGTTCGCTAATGACTGATTACTATAATCGTGTTGCATTCATTTCTCTTACTTGCCTTACGCGCAGGCCCACCATTTCTCTCCACTAATACTAGCAGCGAATATTTTAGCAGCCGATTGCTATGTCATTAGTCTTGGACTGACTTGTTTGGTGTGCGGAACAGGAAATATTTCGCTTTCGGAGAACAAGAAAAATAGGTTTATTTGTGTTACGCTTATTAATTTGTGCAGTTATTCAGTGTCTGATAAGTTAATGGTCAAGAAAAAATATTAATTTTTATTAAAATGTTCTATTATTTTATGTTAACGATTACTCATTTATTTCAGCCCTTTGTATTCAACATGTCTCTATCGAAATAAACCTACATTTCTATGAAAATTGAAGATTTTGGTTTTATTTTTTGTGGCCCACATAAACTTAAACCTTGTTTATTTGGCCTGTGTTAACCTTTGAATTTGACATGCTTGTGTTAGAGGAAACACACACAGAGATATTGTGGGAAGAAGAAAGAATAATAGATTTTCCTTAAGGCATTCATTTTTCAGGGTTCCCCCTACACATTCTCCCACAAGATGGCAAAACACCAATATTGAACAATTCCCATCCAGCGTTAAAGGGACTGACCCCAGGCGCACATGAAAGCATTGGAATGTGGCAGTTCTTTCCGGGTATGCAAATCAAAGGAGGAAGGGCTGAGCCTCTTCCCCAGGGAGCCTATCTCATTGTTAACACTGCTCTTCCCAGACCAGCACAACTGTTCCCACAGCAGCCCACACTTCCCATCGTCTTGTCATTCATCGTGTGTGACGGTCACTACTCTTTCATGTATGTGGCTCCCTCACTGACTGTATGCTTCCTGAGTTCAGGGACCACGTCTATCCTCATCTACTGTGATTCTAGCACCCAACACAGGGCTGGGCTCATAATGGGCTCCCAATAAATACAGAATGAGTGAGTCT